GCTCCCCAGTGGCACGGCGCCGCGCAAACGCACTTTCCACCAAGGCTGCGCAAATCCCAATGGCACTGCGACATCACGAACGTCGTCGCCACACGGTCTGCCCACACACTATAAGAAGTCAGGGCTTCGATGCCACACCCTGAAACGCAAATCCCAATGGCACGGCCACATCCAACACCCCAAAAACACGACTCTCCAAACGCTAATCCCAATGGAGCTGTGCAGAAAACAAAGGATCTCACAAAACGCTGCGCCTGTGCAGTGAAATCATCCTCCATACTTCAACATCTTACATTTCCACACGATTCCTTGCTATTTCACACGAATCTGACACGTCACGTTTTCATCCGAAACCCTCTCCAAAAGCTTCCCCCAACGGCAGCACCTTAGCGCTCTACTGCGAACGGTTGCGAACGGTTGCGGACGGTCGCGGACGGTTGCGGACGGTTGCGAACTTAGAAACAACGGGCCGCGAACAAGGCTCTGTTAAACGAGAACCCTTCGCTACGCATTCGGGAGAAACTCGCAAACAACATCCATTTTGATGACTTTTTGGTTTGGTGGAAGTCCATTGACAAACGAGCACTGAAGCGTCACAAGAACTGTCATATACATGCTTTACGTCAAACTACACCACAGGGTGGCCCGAACGCACAGTACGAGATGACACAAGGTCAAAAGCGAGCTTGCGGCGAAGTCGCAGCGAGGTGCCTTTTCGAAACCTTGTGCCAAGAGCGCTCTGTGCGCGGCGGGGTTCAAGCACAACCTCTCATGAGTGACCGGCTGGACTGCTATGCTGCTGTTTCTTTACAAATTCACACCCCTCCTCAGCCAGATCACTCATTCGAGATTCTGCTTCATGCGCAGCCTTTTTGGCTGACTTTCGTCGCTGACGACCAGCGCGGATGCCCAGCTTCCGGAGCTTTGCTTCTTCTGATGGCTCAAGCTGCCATCTTCCCTCTTCCATCGCCCGCAGGAGCGGAGTGCGCTCACATCCAGCTTTTGTGAGAACGTCGGCCAGCATTTGTGACGTGTCGCACCAGATGACGTACTGCTCGTCATCCACGTAGGAGCCATAGCCAAGAAGATCTTT